TATATAGCCCCACCCTGGGGCCAGAACCCCTGACCCTGGGGCCATGAATTTCACAATTTTGGTAGAGGGTTCACTGCTTATTACAATGATGCCAACAGTTTGACTGCTTGATGTCCTGGAGTAAAGAAGAAGATTTTTAAAGATTGCATTATTTTTGGTGGTTTTAGCCCCACCCCTCAGGCCCCAGGGGGGCAGGGACCATGAAATTCACAATTTTTGTTCCCTTTCACCCATAGATGCTATATGCCAAATTTGGTTGAAATTGGTTAAGCGGTTTCAGAGAAGAAGCTAAAAATGTTCAAATGTTAACACACGACGCACGCCGACGTACGAGAACGGATAGCAATAGGTCACCTGAGTGACTCAGGTGACCTAAAAATAGACATGTTATAACCTTCTTTCACTCCTGTTTTCACATCATTCTGATATCTCCTCTCCATCTCTCACAGAACATTTGAAATCTTTATTTCTGATCAACTTTCCTAGAATTCTATATGTATAATTTTCCATAAGCTGTCTCTATGAATGGAATCAAAGGCTTTTTCGAAGTCTTTATGTATAATGTAGCATGCCATTCATTTACTTGCTCTACGATGTTGGGCAATACGAACATCTGTTGTACTTCTTCCCTGTCGAAAGCCAGCTTGTTCTTTCTAAAGCTGTGAATCAATTCCATCTCTGATCTTATCAAAATATGATTCTTCCTAAGACTGCTCACTACAGTATATGCAGTGATCCCTCTCCAGTTCTTACATTTTTCAGATTCTCTTTCTTTGGTAACTTTACGTTTTCCTTTTTCCATGTTTAAGGTATTTTCTATACAAGTACCAAGTAAAGGTCATACAATAATCAATCAATCGTTTGGCATTTCTCACTTGTCTTTTATTTCTTTGACTCTCTCCTTATAGAGATCTTGTAATCGTTCTTTAAATCTTTTTGAGTGAGTTGCTAGAATCTCCTTATTTATTCCTACTCTCTGATCTTTTTTCTTCCAGGTTGTTTCACTGATCCCAGGTTTCTTTCTTTCTTTTTTTTTGTGAAGTACATCTTGATCTTACACTCATCTTCAAATTCATCTCTTGTTGGTTTCTCTAGGTGATTTTTTTAAGATTTGATATTTGTTCTTCAATGCCACGCTGGATTTCTGCTTTGTTTCTGCATTTTCCAATTTGTCTGTATCGAATCTCATTCGATTTTCCTTTCTTCCTTCTTTTTTCACTTTCATCAGCTTCAGCTTCATTAATGTACACATTAAGACGTGATCGCTTCCAATGTCTGCTGATCTTAGTATACCCTTGTATTTAACACAGAGATTCTGAATTTCTGTTTCTCTAATGTATGGTCGATATGGTTTCTGATTATTCCATTAGGTAACTTCCTTGTTTCCTTGTGGATATTCTTGTGCGGAAATATGGTGCATTTTATTACCAATTCAATTCAATTCAGTTTATTCTCACATTGTATAAAACAACATAGAGAAAATAGAACAACGATATCAAACAAAATACATGATGCAAGAGTGTACAGTTTACATTAACCTGGAAGGGTAACTCTCTTATTAATTATATTGAAAAATTTACAAAGGTTATTGATGACAGATACCTTTTTACATGAAAATAAATTTAAAAACTTGAAAGCGCTTGGTCGACTTATATATGTTGAAGGTAAATACAATTTTCTACAATCATTAAAAGCAGGACATGACATAATATAATGGTATTCGTCTCCAGTATCATTATTACATAAAGTACAAAATCTTTCATTTGAGGGTATATTGCTCCATCGGCCTGTCTCGATTGGTAATTTATGATTACTAGTTCTAAATCTTGCTAATGTGTTATAATATTCATTGACACATTCATGTTTAAATAGTTTCTAGTTGTAAAAATACTATTAGTGAACAAATTGTAAATTTTGCCTTTACCAGATGTATTACAGTCTGAATTCCAGTTTTGTTTAAATTGATCAATCAGCGTTTGCTTAATTACAATCAACAACCATTTTTCATTGTGAACATTCTGCGTCATCCAAACATAATTCAATCCACATTCTTGTAAAATACTTCGTATACATTCAATCCATTTAAAACTACAATTAACAGCGTTGTGCATTGATGAGCTGTATAAAAAATTATATAAAATATGACACAATTTTGTCTCTTTACATTTCAACAGTTTTACCCAGAATTTTATCATTCTCACTTTAATATTTATACTTAATGGGTATCTGCCAAGCTCACCATAAACCATATAATTTGGAGTAGATGTCTTAAGATGAAGTATAAGTTTACAAAATTTGAGTTGAAGTTTCTCAATAATGTTCACATTTTCAAATCCCCATATCTCACAACCATAAAGAAGAATAGGGATAACCATTTTATCAAACATATCAATTTGACAATCGATGGACAAATTCAATTCTCGTGATTTTTTAATTATGGCATATATAACTCTGGTTGCTCTTTGTACAGTATATTTTCTTGTGCTATAAAAAGAACCAGTTCTTGAGAAAAACACTCCTAGATATTCAAATTCTTTTACAATTTCAATAACATTATTATTATAGGTAAATGCTACGTTGGATGGTTGTCTGCCCTTACCAAAAATTATGATTTTTGTTTTATCAATATTTACGTGTAATTTCCATTTTTCACAATATTTTTGAAAACAATTGAGTTGATATTGAAGATCATCCTTAGTTTCAGACATCAATACAGTATCATCTGCATAGAGCATAATCATAATTCTTAAATATACATCTAACATTTGCTCAATTTCTTCAGACAGGCTGTTCAATCCAATCACATTTTCTTGTATTAAAAATTCTTCTAAATCATTAAGATACAATGCAAAGAGAAGAGGAGACAAATTTTCTCCCTGTCGGACTCCATTTCGGCAGGAAAAATATTCAGAAAAATCATTATTATAAAATATTCTAGATTTACAATCATTATACATATTAATAATAACTTTAAGGGGGACCGACCCTCTGATAAGAGAGATAACTTTCCAAGTAAAATATCTTAGTATTTCTCATAGTTTACTTTATCAGAGTTTATTTATCAAGACCTTTGAGCAGTCAATTCGATCAAATGTAACATATGATGGAAACATTACCTTATATTTCCTTTGACTGTACTTTTCAAATCGTTTTATTATGTTTGACAAAAAAACATTTAAATCCAGTTTTAAAACCCTTAAAAATTGAATAAGTTCTATCTTTTTAACGATCATTTTAAAAATGGTTTAAGGGTTTGGTTTTGTGTGCAGCCAAGTGAGACTCACTAAAAATAAAAACCTTAATATCTCAAAAATTAAGCCTTGCTTACACTTGAAAACTGGTCCATGTCATCTTCATAATGAAAACAATCTCTGGGTATATGCAGCTTAATTGACACTTGCAGCAGTTTGCAGCTATGAAGTGCACAATACACCTGCAGGACTGCGCAGCCACAGGTTTTAGTAGTGCACCAAAAAATCCAAAAAAATATGAAATAGTTAAAACAATTAAGTGGCTACAACTATTTGTGAAGAACCTTTGATTTAAATGTAAACTCACTACAATAGGTACATTTCTTTAAATGCATACTTGTTAGTTAAACAAGAAAATGTTAGCCATGAAAGTAGTCCCAACCACATGGCAATGTGTTAAAAATAGAATTAAAGAGACTCACTTTTGATCTAAAAATAGCACTTTATATGAAAGCCCAGACGTATCTAAAATATTACTCTATGGTGTGTACAAAACACAGGGAAATTAATGTTAGAAAAATGATTTTCTCCTTAAAAAGTATGCCAAATAAGATGTTAAAAATCTGCAGGGATAATGGAAGTGGGCAATTTAAATAAGAGGCCTGGCCCACAACATTCACTTGAGTCACCTTGGTGTTCTTCAGATTTCTAAGACATTCTTATCCCCCTTAATTCTCATAAAAACAAATCTGAGCTAATACTGTGGCCCCACCCTGGGCCATAAGGCCATGTCTAATCCAAAACTGATTCCACAACAAGAGGATATTTCATTATCAATATGGCTAACATGGCTTATATGTTTTCTAAAGTTTTTTTTCACATTTATACATGCATTTACCAATTTATATGTAAAATCTGATCTCAGATTTATTTGAAGAAAAAAAATGAAAAAAAATACAAATAGGGAATATTTTAATATTATTATAATAATAAGTCAGGCAAATGATTTTGACCAACTTGAATCTTCACTTCTTGAGGATGCTTGCATACATTATGAGTAAATCATTACCTTGTTGTTCATTAAAGGACAATTTTTTCCTATCTATTCCCATGTCAAACTTTGATACCCCTATTTTAGGGTTTAATTTTTATGGATGACAGATGGACAGACACCAGAGACTCTTTGATCAGAAAAAGTTCAACAGAGCCTCAGCTCAGATGAGCTAAAATGTAAATGTCTTTGATTATTGTAAAAAAAGTCACCAAGAAGAACAAAAGAAAAGGATGATAAATGAACTTTTTTTTTTATTCTTAATCACTTCCAGGATATTATATTTCTTTTAACATGTTAACCAGTATATGCAAGTTTGACTATTTTTTTGTGAAACTTTCTTTAAAGATATAAGGTATAATTTTATAAATAAGCTTCAATTCTAACAATATAACTCTAATATAACTCTCTAAGATATTTGAGACCTGTGTTCTTAGCATGGGTTAGATAAAACACTAAAACACTAAACACAATAATATCCTGTATCAAGATCCCAAAATGTTCTTCATTGTAAACTCGTGGAAAGTTCAAATATGTATTTTTGTTTGGTCATCATATTTTCTTTTTCAATGATGTTTGGAAAGTTCAAAGCATTTGTTCATACAACCATGGAATCAAAAATATTAACTTTCTTTAGTCATATCATATGAAACTAAATCACAGTCTTCACATGTTGCTGATATTTTCTCCAACACTGCTTTCCAAAAGATTAACTGTTGAGACAAACCAAGATGGACCAAAACCTCTGTCATTTAAATGATCTCCTTAACTTTGAAATCTGTAAAATATTAAATATAAATAATTTATAATACTGTGGTTTCATCATTATTCGTGGAACACCAATTTTCGTGGATTTCGTTGTTGAGTCGATCCACGAAATCAAATGTTCATCGAAGTTTGGTGCCTCCATTTTGATTTATGATAAACCTTTAAAAAGCCTATTACGACTTTCTTAAATATACGTGAATACCCCTCTTTCTCCAACAGCTTGGCTTTATAAACGTATTTTATCATTTTAAAGAATATTTTAAAAAAAATACATGTACTATTAGATAATTATCTGGCAATTTTCAGTAAAATATCTTTTAATATTCTGACAGAGATAAATAAAACATACGTAGAACTGTCAACACTGTTCATATATATACAAATCAGTGGTATAACACAAACGATGGTAGATAATCAGGTTTAAATGTGTAAATTTGTTTTTCTCAAACAATCTAACGATCCAACACCAATTATCACCTACACAATGAAAACAAAAATTACCTTGAAATAAAAATTTTGGTAGAAATAATTAATTACTCTCTGTTCATAGCTGACTTAAATCATACAAATTATAAACACAATTTAATGCTAATTTGACTTTGAAACATTTTTTTTTTTTTGTTAAAAGTGAGAAAGCAGGTATGATCATTATCCACGAATTTACGTATCCTCGAAACAGTGATTTCTACTAAATCCACGAAAATTGATGCCCACGAATATTAATGAAACCACAGTATACCACTAAAAAAACAATACTGTTGATCACTCTCAAAGAGGGAACTTGAATTGAAAGTTAAATCTTTACATCATGACTAAGTAAAAAGCATGCAAAGACAGACATGTAAATTTCAGGGTCAAAGGCTACACATCCCTCAGCAATGATGGTCACATTGTAAATGTTGGTTAACACTGATTGTTGGACTGAATATATCTTATTTTAATTTACAATTAGTGTAGATCAGAGTAGTTTAATCCATATAGAGATATATGAGTCTAATCTGTATACAAAGAGATCAACCATAAATAAGATCAATTAAGGTAAACCCAAGTGATGGTCATGTCATCTTGCCTTGGGAAGTAGATGAGACAAGCATATAAGATCATAATTAAATAAAGCAAACAAGTACAAAATCTGAAGGTTAAATGACAAGGTAAGGATTTGATGGCAGAATTTTAAAAACCTGATATGATGACATGTGTGTTAGTAAGCTACAAGAAGATGATCAGAAACAGTTCCTTCCAAAAGAGATTGAAGTTTTCAATTATTTAAAAATAACCTCTGATGTGACTTCTTTTTTCAGTCACTGTTTACCTAACATTTGTTTTTTTATCGTTAAAGTCAACTGCAATATAAACAATTACTTTTATTGGGTTATAACGTGACATCACACATAAGGTTTGATTATTCATGATAACGATACTTAATTCGCTCAAGCAGCCTCGGGTAGGAGAGAGCTGTAGGCGGACTCCAACCATGGCTTGAGACAATGTGATGGACACATACACAACATTCACTCAAACAAAATCTTTCTTTTCATCCAACCGCATATATATTTCTCATCATAAAAATTGTACATTCTTTCATTCTGTACACATAGAATAACATCTGAATCCAATCATACAAAATGAAATGACTAGTCAGCTCACTGTGATTATAACACCTACCTTATACCCTTATACACATGTCTATTAAATTTACAGAATCATTCCATTGTGATAAAAAACTTACTTTACAGGGGAGGTTTTTGGGAGGGCTCCAACACAGGTATCACATGATTATGAAATGCAGAAATTGACAGTCCAGAGAAAATATCTGAACAGTGTTCTTTTTTGTGAAACAAGGCATTCTGTAAACATGGTAAACATAGTTATAATAAATTTTAGGAAAAAAGTTCAAAAACAATTCTTTTAAGTCTAGATATTAATATTAATCTTTGTTGAACATGTTGAAGGGTGTCAGTGTTTTAACTGAATGGTATTTATTTCCTGAAACTGTGTCCGTTAAAACTTTTGTTCTATGAGACATTATAAGAATAGAGTTTTGCTTCCATCTCTCAAAATTATGTGAATTTGAATTTGATTATTGTTTGTTATCTTCATATTTCATTTAAAGTCTCTTCCATTTTTTTCTTTAAGCATTTTAACCTCAATGTGTCAAACTATACCAGATTTCTTAATTTTTTTTATTGGTCCCATCAGGATAGAAATACAATGTAACAAGGTTTGCCTGTACCATTAAAATGCAGGTCCTCCAAAAAAAAAATAATAATAATAACCTTTGAGATAAAGTGGTGGCTACATGTACATTCATTTTTTTTTTCAATTTTATACAAAAAATCTTAGAGGTTTCTACAAGAATATTATGGTATTTATGGATCAATACCAAGGTTTACCCCCCACCCCACCCCCAGCACCTTATCTCTTCCTTACAAGTGCAACCAACAACCTAAGTCTAATTGAGCATATGAAAAACTTTCATAAAATGAACATTCAATTAAAAATAAACATGCTTGGTAGCATTTGATTCAGCATGCTCAATGGTAACTTAAGATCAGGTAAGACCCCCTTATTATACTCCCTTTTTGATGAAACCAATGCCGTTGCAGAAATTCAAGTTTTCAATCTTAACCATTTCAACTAGAGAATATTAATTATTAATACTTTATGCAATTTTCATCTTTAAAAAAACCTATTTTTCAATTTTGCTGCAGTCTCTTCATTTGATGAACATTGAACAATTTACATATCAAGCAATAAGCAAATTAAGTTGACATCCTTGAAAATTTTTATCGTTTAATTTACTTTTCCCCATGAGAACTACATATACTGCACTAATCTGCAAATCAGAAGGTCCAAGTCCAAAATGATGGTTTGTATACATAGTACAAACTTATGTGAAAATTATTTATATAAATAATCAATAATACTTGCATCTCTTTTACAAAAAGTAAAACAAAAAAGCAATAAAATTTGAATATCAAAATTTTGATTTACAAATAACACATCTGATTTACCATATATGTGTACTACGTAGAGCCACTTCACTTAGCCGTCATAAGACATTTAACTTGGTGTGTCTGAGGCTCAATGAAGGATCTTACACAAAAATCGCTCATTAATGAAAACAAAATTCAGTTCTTTACTCTACTCATAATATTTGAAACCCTGTTTTTGACTGAACTATATTTTTATACAATGACGAATACTTTTAGTATTTTGAAACATAGTAACATTTATTAGAGGAACCTTAAATATTGCCCGCTACCAAATTGTGGTCTGCAAGAAACACGTGGAAATTCTCAGATCCTTTGTATAACGTTTAACCTTTTTAAAATTGATGTGCATTAGATCGCAGGCGTTGTCACACTCAAAATGTATTACTGATACTAGGAGTTATATCGTATTTCTGAGATAAGGCTCATAAATCACAATAAACACAACAAATCGACTTACCAGCTCCTACTTTCACTTTAGCCGAATATCGCATGACAGACCTCAGAAATAAACTACGCTGAGTGATTATAGTTCTTAATTTTCGTGCAATATTTTTCAATATTATATGACATTGTCCTACATTTGTAGGATTAATATGCTTATTTGATAAAAGGTAATTAACAGCCTTACCTGCAAAAGAAATAACAGACGTTAAATTCAGTCGGAACTGCTAAAACTGGGCGCGTAGTAATTTATCTGTCCATTGTAAAATCGAAGACGGAGCATTCCCTGATATGACGTAAACATCGATGTTACTTTTATAATAAACAATATTAAACATTTAGATCGAAACATTCTAATAGCTGGAGATGTTTAACGAAATATCTCTCTAATTGCTTTGTGTAATCGAGGTACTAGAGACATCAGATTACAGAAATAGTCAGTTGGTTTCAATACCGGAATGGCAGCCCCCCGATTTCGCATGGCGGACATGCCTAGTTGATGAAAAACAGACAGTTATGGAAAAAGTACGCACAGTATTGCTAGGAACGAAACAAATGGTTGTACCCATGACGTTCAACTATCTGCACATATACAACAAATGTCATGTTATTGTTTTGTTAGACCTGTAGCTGTGCAGTCCTGCAAGTGTAATATGCACATTATTGCTGCATGACACTGCAAGTGACAATCAAACTGCATACATATCAAGACAGCTTTCCAATGGAAGGTGTCATAGGTCAGTTTTCAAGAGTAAGCAAGAAGTATTTATTAAAATATTGAGATTTTTATTTCGTACGAGTTTCACTTGGATGAACACAAAACCAAACCCTTAATGTATCAAGCACCAAATGTAGAATTTTTATTAGTATTGCATTTTTTTCCAATGAAAAAATATTTATAAGAAAGATAACTCTTGCTAACAGATGTATTCGTTTCTTACAACCACATATAACATTGTGGTCCACACTTCACTTCACTATGCACCTTTATATATAAACACAACACCTTAATTAATATGCATTGTAGCGCACCGAGCAGGTTGACGCCAGGTTTATTATATTGAATATATTCAAATATACAAACAAAGCAGTTTTGATATAACATTAGGCCCACATACTAAAAGGCAAAAACACAAAAAGCGAATTTTAATAATAATGCAATACAATTTAAAGCCTCCTCCGCCGCCCAGGAAAAACCATAGATAAAAAACAAATATTTTGTAGAAACTATGGAAACCTGTGTGTCCGCGGCAAATTGCAGAGTAAGCGAAAAAGTTGAGTGGCGGACCCTCACTCATGTTTTAAACATCCAAAAAAATTTTTTCTAAATTTATGAAAATATAAATTTTACTATTGTATTTATAAAAAATAAAAAACACGACTTGCTCGGGATAGCGTGCGCTAGAAAGTGAACTCTTACTAACCACCCGTAAATACAATCGAACACGTTTTCTCAATACCGACATTTCATTGGCTGAAACCTACATAACAATTTCACCTTAGTAACACCACACTTTCGTATTCGTTTACATGTCGTCAGGACAATTATTTTTCGCTATACTTCGTAACGCGAAAAAATGTAAGTCCACACTTCACTTCACTATGCACCTTTATATATAAACACAACACCTTAATTAATATGCATTGTAGCGCACCGAGCAGGTTGACGATAGACATTACCAAAGAAAGGGAGAGAAAAGAGCGAGAGAAAAATATATGTATAACTCACAACAACAATTGTTTTGACACATGTAACCTTTTTTCTAAAGAGTCTTTAACATAAACATTTTTGCTAGACACAGACTTCCATCGCCCGTGCCTTTGTAAACACCTTTCATTAACACCAACATTTGCAGCAGCAGTTGCACCTCCTGATCTAAGAGAATGGAGACCAATATTTAAATTTGGAGCTACTGTTTTTAAAAGAGTAACAATGTTTTGCTTTGCTGCAGTATAACTAAGCTTCTTATTTTTAACTATTAATTTTGAAAAACCATTACTTCTAAAAGCGGGTTTAAAAATAAAATGATCAGAACATAAATCAATTCCCGCCTCTTTTGTATAACGTAGAAACATGGCATATGGACAAGCGCTTGTGGTACCTTTTGCAATAAGTACTTCATTTCCATCTCTATATTGATCGTTTTTACATTTTTCAATAATAATTTTTAAATAATTTTGTTCAACAATGATATTATTGCATTTCAAAGAACTCAGTTCGTCAAATCTCAAAAAACCAGCAAAAGCGATCAAAATCATAGTTAAATTTCTCAATAAAAGAACATCTGTACTGTCAGTATACAAATCACACAAATCTTGTAACATCTGACGGTCAACTGGATCTTTCCTGCGCACCGGTCTACCAGTTAAACGTTTTGCTGATTCCTGTAATGATTTCACGAAGGAATTTTCGGTAGGATCTGGATAACCACTAATTTCATGCATCCATTTAATCGAATAAATAGCACTGTTCACTGTAGAATACGACGCACCAGAATCTAGCAAATAAGTAATATATAATGCAACGTGTACCGGCTGCGCTGGAATTTCACTCTGCTCGTGCTCATTTATGAACTTCTTCCATCGTTGAAAATTATGTTTGTAGGCCTTGTTGGTGCCGTCACTCTTCGATGATATGAGATATCCACACATATGCTCACTGAAAGACCCCAGCTTACTGCACAATGAAATGCCACTATCAGTAACTGCTTTGTTTATATGTAACTGCACTCCTAATCCTGGAAAAAATATTCATTACCATTAAAATATATTCATAATCTTGTGCACTGTCAATTTTAGAATTGGATCCTCAATACCAACATCTTAAATTTCAATGGAAATTTTGCAAATACTGATTTGTTACTCTTGCCATGCGTTATCAATTTTTCATTAGGCAAATAATCATAAAATTTAACAAAATGTTTGAAACAGTTTCCCTCAAATATCAAAGGCCAATATGGAGATGACTTCCACTCTGGAATAATCAACGTTCCTGAGGCCTTTTCCGCTACCATTTTGTTGATAACTCTAGGTATAAAACTGGGCGGGGGAACTAACCAATTATTTTCACTTACCCATACCTGTGTAAAAGCGTCAAATGCCTCTGTACCAGGACACCAATATTTTGAATTGAATCTTTCACATTTTTTATTGTAATGAGTTGCAATCCTATCAACAGTATGAACTCCCCACAATTTCTCATAAATGTCAAATACCTCATCGTTAACTGACCAATCATCCATGTCAGTTACACGACTCAAAAAATCTGCCCTTTTGTTTTCATTTCTAGGCTTCCATACATTTTGAACCTGAACACTGTTTTCACTACAAGTCTCAAATATTTGATTTGCAATGATTTGTAAATATGGCTTTTTGCTCCCAACTTGCATAATTTTTGAAACGTTTTTACTGTCCGAAATTACATTTACCTTTGTGTTTTCAATGATATTGACTTTACTTTTCATAACCCTGTTAACAGTTTCAAGCTCTCTCCATGTTGAGCTCTGCATCGCTTCTTCTTCTGTCCAATTTCCAACTACACTACCCATAAAAAAATTTTCATTTCTCTCATTCAAACTTTCAAAATAACCACCAAAGCCTACATCTGAGGCATCGCAATATAAATACAAATTGCATACATCTGATGCGCTTACCAAATCAATTGAACAACCATTTTCATTCAATGTTGACACACTTCTGCGCCAAAACTCAATTTCTTTCAAAGCTTCCGCAGTTATTTTTACCTGAGCTTCCCAGCTAGCTTTGCTTGATATGCAGTAATATAAAAATCTTGTTCTCATTCTAACAATATCACCAAAAACGACTTTCATGGATATTATTTGACCAACAATTTTAGCCAAAAATTTTACATGAAAATAAAGAACATTTTTCTGTACTTGGCAGTGTAAAGCATCTAAGCAAGAATTTAAACGATGAATTCTGTCACCACTGATGTGAACTTGACCTTTTTCTGTATTCCACTGTAGACCTAACCATAAACAATTTTGACTTGGAACCCAATTACATTTTTCTTCTGCAAACAAGAAGCCCAAATTTTGAAAAATGTGTTTTATTGAATTACTTGCATTTGATGCCTCATCAAAATTTCTGCCTGCAGCTATACCGTCATCTAAAAATGTAATAATCTTTATTCCTTCTGACCTTAAGCGTTTCACGGGTTCTCGAAGAACTTTAGAAAATATGTACCCTGCTGTAGAAATGCCAAAAGGTAGTACATTAAAAACAAAATAAGAAACTTTTCCATTTTCTTTCCATGAAAACCCTAAATATTGTCGATGTTCCTCGTTTATTTCTAAATGATGATAAGCTGATTTTAGGTCAAAAGTAAACATAAAATCTCCGACTTTAAGCATTTCCTTTGCTGTCATAGCATCCTCGTATCTAAACTTAAACTTGTGTAAATGAGGATTAATATGTCTACAATCAAGTACCAACCTTGACTTACCGTTTCTATTTTTAGCCACAGTCAAAGGATTTACAACTGTAGGTTTTTCAGACACCCGTGACACACACCCCTTTTCTACCAAATTTTTGATCTCACCTGTGACGAAATCTGGTTCATCTCCCGCTGACCTAATGTTGTTTAATTCAATAGCCACAGGGTTAGTTTTGAATGGAATTCTATAACCTGACTTTATCACATCCAAGACTGTTTTACCTGTTCCAATTTTCTCCCACTCATCGTAGTGTGATCTTAAGCGGCCAACTGGAGATTTTTTATTTATTATATCATTAAACAGGTTGGGCACACCCCACCATTTGGTACTTTATCTCCCATATGGTGGTCAATCACCCATATCGTACACATTGTTTACTGACCATATGGGAGAAAAAAATCGTGCATTATCATTTGTAGTCTTCCTTTTAAGAAGCGCATCATGTCTGGTCAAGTGGTAAGTACTATGGGACGTTTTCCGTCATAATAACGTTAAATATTTCACTTTCCATGTCCAAGTTCTTGCGCTTGTCTGTTTAAAAAGGAGGTCTTGTGTAGAAATGATAGTTGTGGTGTTTAGAAAATGGTGTTTCTACCTTCAATCCTTCATGACTTCTTCTAAAACTTCATGGACTCTTTTCTAGTCATGTTTACTTTCATTTCCGATCATCCGGGTATTTCTGAAACAATTACAACCAATGAAATCTCTTGATCTTTATCGACGTATCTCAAAAGCTTAATTTTACTACGGTGAAACATTCGGGTGCATAATGTATAAAAAGGACGAACAATGTGCGATTTTCTTGTGGACATGGAAAATGAAGAAATAAAAAGAATATTTGAATTTTTTACATTTTTTTTCCTTATTTGTAATAATTAAAATTAGAAAAAGGTATCCAAAGGTGGGAAAGTATCCTACATATCCAAGCTGAAAGACAAGAAACAACCGACAAAGGTTTTTACGGACAAAAGAAAGGTGTCTAGGTCTTTCAGTAAGAGGAAGGATACCCTTCTGGAGAAGGTAGGCTTGCTTAAAACAAGAATGAATTTTCATGCACCAAATTTTACTTAAGCATTTCTTTCCAGGCACATAGCATTGTTTTTAAAGTGTGAGGAAAGGGGGTTGTTTCCAACTTTATATTAATAAAAATTCTACTAGAATTACATTAATGTAATACGAATATGAATGATGTGATGTAATTCAACAAATTTTGTGAGAGCCAATCAACCTGAAAATCTCAACTGGACTTTCTAAAAAAAGAGGGGGGGGGGTGTCCCCTCCCTCGGCACCTACGTGTCTGCTTTAGATAATAAATGAAGTATATATGTGTGTCTGAATATAAAAACAGGGCACATACAGGTGCTTTTCTTTCCTGTTTGTATATTTGATAGAAATGTTGATATAAAGAATAAATGACAATCCAGAATAGAACGTACGTGCAATATTTGTTTATAGTTTTTTGTCATTATAATTACAAGAACATTAAACACAATAACAATAATGATGATGATAATAATAATAATAAATTGGAATTCTTCATACTAAGGCAAAAGATTTGTACACTGCAACTTCTGCAGAGGTGTCCGTCACTATTCGGAGTTCTTCTGGGGCGACTTATGAGTACAGAAGTCCAAACTTCAATGAGGTATCGACAGTATAAATAATCACAAAGTTCATTATATCTGAAAAAGAGTTACAATTAAGTTTGGTGAATATATGGAAATAAAAATAAAAGTTAAAGGAGTTGTGTTAATTTTATTTAAGTTACCCACATGTACAAGTGAAACTAAGGATTCGCAGCCCTCAACTTCAAGTGCCGCGCCAGCTGATGTGGAGCACCACAGCGTGCGAGAGAGTGCCGCTCAGACAACTGAGTCCGTCCTATCGCCTGAAGTTGCGGAGGACAAATGTAGGATCTGTGGGGAGAAAGAGGGAGAGAATAGAATGTGGATTGGGTGTGAGGTGAAAGATTGTAATTTTTGGAGGCATGCGTGGTGTATGGGTGTGACAGCGTACAGGGATAGGGCTTTAAAAAATCTGAAGTTCTACTGTCCCAAACATATTGGGAAAAAACAATAAATTTCTCTATACATTTGTAAGAATTACAGCACAATTTCTTCTTTTTCTTGGATAATTTTTTTTTAAGGTACTTAAAAATCGAAGGTTCAGCATCCGTCTCTTCAGTCATTAGATTTTGTTTCAACTCCATTAATTGTTATTTTTAAGGATAAAATAAACTAAAAGACATTTCTAAAAAAAAAAAAAAAATAACGTCAGTAAACATTTACCCTGCGAGGCGCACTTTGACATAGCAAAGCCTTTCATCTCAACAATTATATGAAAAAATTACTCATTTTCCCCAGTGACATTCATTCCTGTCATTAGAGTATTGGACATTTCACTTTCTTAATTACAATCATTATATTTATTTATTTGTTTTGTTGGTAATTTTTTAAATAGCATATGTAAAATAAAATAGGATATTTCACCGCAATCATCAAATATAAAAAAAATATTTTTTACTTACATCAATCACTCTCACTTTCATTCTGGCCCTCGCGGATTTCATTTATTTCCTTCAGAAATTGCAAGATGGTAGCTTTTTTGCTCTTTTTAATTTTTGTCCATTTCTTATTTAACACATCGGAGCCCAAGTCATCAATCAATGTCTGTATATGTGATATGATTTCTGTTTTTGTTTTGTTTGATATGTCTGTATGTTTGTGTCTATGTTCCTGTAGGATGAAAATTGGAGTGTATTTCTGTCTGGATGAAAGTTTGTTTGTAGTGATGTGTGTGTAGTGAAGTTGTTTGTTGTGTGTGCACTGTGTGGAGAATTGCGAGAGGGCGCTGTCTGTAGGTTTGTTGGAGAGTGTTGTGAGAGTAGTTTGTTGAAAATATCCACTTTTTCTAATGATTTTTCGGAAGGAGGCTATTTCCTCTGTGAGGTCGTAAGTGTAGTTGTAATTACTGTCTTTTTCTGACATCCCCAGCTTCCCCTGCATATTTTGTCTTATCTATAATTATTAAAGAAAGATTTTTCACAATTCATGTATCACAATTATTTTTACAATAATTTCACCAGGTTGCTTGTGATAGAAAAAGGCTTTACCTCATCTAATCTATCAATGTTTCGACAAATTGTCAGCCATCTCTCCTCAGATGGCATCCCAGGAGGCATGAAACTTTTTGCCTTCCTGTTGAGGTTTTCTAGGACAAAATCGCCTCCTTCCCCCTTACTGTCGTTACCACTCACACTGTAAGATTCATGGTTTGCAATGAACTCACTTACTTCAGAAGGACATTGCAGTCTAATCATTGAATCTCTTATATATGCCTCCATGTAGAATGGCATGTTTAGACCAAAGAACAACGGAGAAAACATGCATCTGCTTGCAAGAATTGCATCACTGTTGTTCCGTCTAACACCAGCACGAAATACATGGAGGGCAAGGCTGAAATTAAAAAGAACATCATACATGAATTTTTCATTAGGGGTAGTAAGGCTGTCCAGAAAACCGTCAACAGTTGGGTCACGATTGGTGCTTATAGCGTCCCTAACATAGGGAACCATGATTTCACCAGACATGGCAAAAAGAAAAATTTCAAAGATCTGCCAACTTTTATGGTGATCTGGAATTTAAAAAAAAGCTATAAAAAATACTATAGCTAACTTGGATTATATACCAGTTGCTATAATCATAAAATATAATTGCCACTTGTTTCATACCGCTTGCACTCTGGCATGCTGCAAGGGCCTTTGGGCTTCTAAAGCCCAACATCTTCGCCAGGTCTTGTAGGACAATTTCCCACAGAAATTTAAAAATGGCTTTGACCATGTTAATTTCGAAATGGCCGTGACCTAATGAAAAGTATATTTTTATTAAAAAAAATTATCCAATTGAAATATTGCAAAAATAATATCATAAATGTAATGTTTAATAATATTTTTCAGGAAATGCTCGACACTTTTATTTTATGGACATGAAAACCATGCATGCCTGTTAACATGAGAACATCCTTGTATTTTCGCCCATCCTCTGAGTTGTCTGTGTGGTGTGTTTCATTAATATGGGACAGAAATTCTGCCCTCCCATCATATTGGCGTCTACACAGCGGACAAATGAAAATTTCCTCAATCAGTCGTGATGCAAGGATATATGGAAGGCCATCACACCCTACAGCTGTCCATCTCCTTGCATCACCGACCTTTGCCTCCTCCATTAAATGATCCAATACCTATGTATATAGGATTAAAATATTTATCATCTTTCCGACAAATTATCTGATGATTATACCTGATTTATTTAATTAAATACATACTTTCTCCACTGCTTCATACGAACATGGATTCTCAAATATCGGTTCCCCAGCAATGACCTTTGATGGCCCAGGTTTATGTCCCGATGCAATATAAGTGTACCTGTAATTTTTTTTCATATTGAAAATTGCTCAACAGTAATCCCCACCCCACCCCAAAAAAGATGTAGAAGGGTTGGGATGGGTTGCTTTTTGGTTCTCCATGGGATTTTCAATGTTATTAAATTTCTTTGTTAAGTTGTAAAATGTAACCTCAGATCAAACCCTAGGAAAAACCCACTCCTCGTAAAATGTCAAGATAGTCATGAAGAGAAATTTGGATTACTTGTCTGATCACCCCCACCCCCATTATAGGTTTTTAGGTTTAGTCAACTTTTTAACTTGTTAAGGATTTGAGGGTCGACAAAAAATTTTCCAGTACAATATTTCTTTGACTTGGTGTGGAAACACCCATCAATCCCATCCCATCCTGTAAAATGAATTCCTGGATTCGCGCATGGAAACACACATGTACCCACGTACATTTTTGTTTGGTAATTTTTGATTTATGTATTAAAAGCAAATGAAATTGTAGCTTACCTTTCGTCTGGGGGAGGGGTTTCACATGGAGGATCAATGTTTCCATCCACGTGATCCTCAAGACAATTATTTACTTTCTTTTGTTGATTGGCTACTTCCTGCAGCCTCTTAGCAAGAAATTGTTTTCTGTATTTCAAAATATTGCAATAAACAAATGGCATACGTAATAATATTTAATATCTAGTGAATTTTCATTTTATATGTATGAGTGACGATATACAGGCACGTAGGAAACAATTTCGTTGGAGGGAGGGAAAGGGGGGATAATGAAATAGTGATAATAATAAATAGTGATAATAATGCTAAAATCAACTAAATAAATAAAGAAATTTACACGAAACATTTATTGAGGGGGTTCTAATGTAAATAAAGTGTATTTGATTGTGGTGGGAATCCCCCCTTTTCAATCCTATATGCCTGATATTTAGAAAGCCCATCATTTCTGTTATGTACCTGAAACCATCAAACTGTTTCTCATAGACCTCTTCTTGTCTCTTAATATTTTTTACGAAATTTTGTTTTGAGGTAGTATCGTAGCACTGCCACGAAGAGGGTGCGTAGTGTTCCAATGTCTGGATATTAGAATTGGTTTCCATGTGTGCTACAGAAGTAATGACCGAGGAAGATGCTTTGAAGTCATTCTTCACTCGCCATTTTCTCCCTATGACCTTTATCATAAATAAAAAAAAAAAGGTTCAGAAAACACACACACAACAAAAGGTAATATAAAGAAATTAAATGAAAACAAAATGAACTGGAAAAAAAATTGAAAAAATGTATAAATGTGCTATTTCATCGGTAAAATCTTTAATGTGGGAACATTTAGGAAATAATGCACCTGGTTGTTGTCGAAGAATGTTATAAAATCACTGTTTGAGGGACAGCTGATTTTATCAGTGCTGTGGTCCTTTAACCAGTTTAAAATGCTCGTATAGCTCCCACTTGGAGAGCAAGCAGACGTGATGCTCACTGCTTCTTTGCTTCCTGTCAATCAATACGTGCACAAAAGGAATGATCAACAAATGCACTTAATAAAAGAAATAAAAGTGAAAATAAGAAAAAAATAAATCTAAAATCAAAAACAACAAAAACAAAGTTTTATTTAGAAGAAAATAAATATTATAGGATATGTTTATTGACGCACCTGTTTTTGAATATACTAATAAAGATCTGGCAAAAGCCAGGGGACCAACAAAGTTTGGATTTCGCAGTTGGTAAATGGCCTCAAGGGCATTAACCAAGAACATGGAAAAATTCATATTGGAAAATTTTTCCTCCATTAGTCCTTCAAAAAATGCAAGCACGCATCCATTTCTTTCCTTAATCCAATCTTTAATAAGAAAAAAAAATCATTAAACAACATAAGAAACATTTTTATTCAAATTTTAATTTTTACATATATACACTTACTAAAAACAATTTCCTTTCCGTTTTTATAAAAAAGGAGGGGGTCTGTAACATTAATTCTACACAAAAAGGGGCACACATTATCAATAACGGAGCAACAACTGTATATGGACATTGCTTTTCTATTGGGCAAGTATATATAGTAAATACTGCATGTCAAAATAATGGAGTTGGGTGCGTGGGTGGTGTTGGGGGGGGGGGTGCTCTTCCTCTTTTTGAGGTCAGACATTGCTTATAATATGAGAAGTGAAAGTTCAGTGCCACAGTGAATGTTTCCTTGTTAGTATGCAGCTTACTTGACGGGTCGAAATGTTTCAAAGCGTCGTCATCTTTGTAAACTTTTCCTGCCTCCACACTGTCCTTGTAAATGTCTTTCGACTGTTTCCTGCCTGTATAAAAATGATTGTAAAAAAAAGAATTCTTAAAAAAAAAAACCCACACAGATAAATAAACACCATCACCACCCCTCTCCCCAAGAAAATAAAACAAAAGAAAAATATAAACTAAAAAGTATTAATTATTTTAAAAAATCTTAATCAATAAATGAAAAAAATACATGAAAACAGATCACAACTGTGTTATCTTCTGATTCCTATTTCAATACCTATGGCTTTTGTCAGTTCCTCTAATTCGGTCTGCGTAAATTCATCTCTTTCAATTTTTTCCATAACTTCCCCCAATAGGGTGCTCTTTTTTCTCTTACTGGATGTTTCCTCGAGTAACAATGCCTGATAAAGTGAAGTTTTTGCAATGAAATAAGGATAGAGAGAGCATCCTTCATCATGTTCATTACTAAATTTATTGGATGGTGCAAGGAATAGGATTGGTAGGGGGTGTTAAGTCGTTAATAAGAATTTGTTGACGGAGAAATTGAATATCCATGTCTTAATAGCTTTGTTAATGTGCACTTTTACCCTCCTTTGCCTCTGTTACGATGTACGATGCTTCATGCATTCTTAATATCATTCACCAATTTATAACATAGGCGTCGGAGGCAAATTGAAAGTGGAGGGGGGGGGGGGCTAAATGAAAGTGAAAAAAAATTTCAAATCTGAAAAAAAAAATGACAAGCAGAAAAAAAGGAAAATGGGGGTTTTTCGAATTTCTTGAAAGTGGGGGGGGGGGGGGCTAAACCTACACCCCTTGGCAAACTTGGCAAAAAAAGTGGGGGGGGGTAACCCAACCCCCCCCCCGGGTCCGACGCCTATGTCCATGTATGATCTAACTCAAAGTAGCTTATTCGTAAAGTTTTAAATGAAAAATAAGAGTTAATAATTAAAATATTTCAGAAATATCACTGTTATTAATGCATCCCCCCCCCTTAAATCCCTTTTCAAGGATCATGAAGAAAGCTGATACCTGTACTTGTATATATTAAATATTTGACTTTATTTTTATTTACCTCAGTGTACTTTATACACCCATCACACAGAAAGTTTGCATATGTGCTAAGTACACCCATGTCTTGTAGTTTTTTAATGACTGCTACCCGGATTCTCTTTCCATCAATTTTCCTTAAATTTTGTCCATCTTTCGGGCAAAAACTTGCATTTGAGCACCCACACTTTTTTTCAAATGGCATTCTTTAATATAAATCCATGCATGAATTAATGTTTTGCATTTTAATATACACATTTAATATATAGTGCAATTTTCATAAGAATTTCTATTACATTTTAGCTGTACATGCGCGCCATACAGTGCTTTTTGACAGATAATTAAACATAACGGCACTTTTCATTGGTCTATCTTGATCTTCATCAACTATGCGCTTTAATTTCAGAAGTTCTAAACCGAAAGGACGTGCATTAATTGAATTGATGCAAATCAACAAGATTTATCCTTGTTATAAGGAAAAAAGGTAAGGGAATGAAAGATGTACGTACCTATATGGTGTCGATATCTCGCTACACCTCAGAAACCGGACATAGAATGACAGGTGACTCGCTTTATATAGTATCTAGGTATGTCAACTAGCAATCCCTGACTCTCGTGCTGATGCGCTTTTGCATTGTTTTCATTTTATTTTGGCGGCAAAAAAAATGATCACCATTTGGTCAGTAAAATGTGTACACTATTTAGGCTATTGTCCACCATATGGGAGATAAATAACCAAATGGTGGGGTGTGCCCAACCTGTTAAAATGTGCCAAATTTGAAATAGATAAAAAATCAGCTAAGTTTTCACTTATCTTATTTAATTTGTCATCTTTCTTTGTGCAATCTCGACTCCAGTGCCCCTTTGCCCCGCAGTCAAAACATCTGCCGGGTTTTCCACTGCTCGTTGACTTCTCGTCAGTCTCCATGCGAGTGGCTGTTGCCGGTTTCTTTTTCTGATAGGGTTCAAATCTAGATCGCTTCCTCCCGTTGAAAACTTTCCTCTCGGCCCTCATCTGTGCTCTGTACATCTTCTTCTCATCATCCGAATCGTCTGCTGTCGGGTTGGCTTCGTACTCTTGAACCACTCTCCAACCGAGCTGCGACGAATCGGCTAACTTAATAACTTTTTGACGATTCTTAACCAATTCTATACCTTCAGCGATACTGCTTTTGGCTGACTCCACTCCGTCGTCGCTGTTCAAATGCTCCCTGGCCTCCTTCAATTTGGTTAGATCTTTCGCTTCATGCTTATATTGGTTCTCATTTCCTTTTTTACGGAAAACATAATGCTCATTCAAATTTTCCTCAATTTTGCTGATTTGAGACGTGGAAATTTGCTGAATGTTTTGTTGGAATACCGTCAAACGGCTGTCCATCATATCTTTTAGATTTTCTAACAATTCCGACTGTTGACGAGACACAGCTCGATTAACTTCTTCAGAAATTGCACTCTGTACCTGCCTGGCGTCCATGACCAAAACACGACTTGCTCGGGATAGCGTGCGCTAGAAAGTGAACTCTTACTAACCACCCGTAAATACAATCGAACACGTTTTCTCAATACCGACATTTCATTGGCTGAAACCTACATAACAATTTCACCTTAGTAACACCACACTTTCGTATTCGTTTACATGTCGTCAGGACAATTATTTTTCGCTATACTTCGTAACGCGAAAAAATGTAAATATTCTGACTTAGGAAATAGCGCTTCATTATGATTTCTAATAGGAATTTAGTAGGTTTGACACTAAATATTATTTTTATATACACTGCATATTCCTAATTTTATGTTGTGATAATAAATTATTACTCTTCCTAATCTCTGTGTTAAAATTTCTTCATATTATGATCTGACATAAAAATCATTTCTGAAAAAATAAGCAGCGCTTCAGACCTCATACTTTTTTCATTTGATTTTGATGCTATAGCTCTTGATGAAAATCAATGTTGGGAAGTTTAAAAAAATTTCGTGAAATTTGGAGCAGAGGGTCATTAGTCCTTAAGACATTTCCCCGTAAGGTGGTATTTAACAAGCTTTTTCCACAACCCTATTCGCCATACTTTATCAAATGCAGCCTTGAAATCAATAAAGGCACAATATAATTTCTTTTTCTTTAGTAAAGTGAGTTCTATCAAAGAATGAAGTACGAACATATTATCAACAGTAGAATAATTTGCCCTAAAGCCGCTCTGGTTTTCCTTAATGAGGTCTACATTATCTGCATATGAGGTCAGTCTTCTACACAAAATAGATGTAAAAACTTTTCCAAGACAACTTAACAATGTTATAGGACGATAATTTTGCGGGTCGGTATAACTACCTTTTTTCTTATAGATTGGTTTTATATTTCCAACTTGCCACGCCTCGGGAACAATACCGGTATCAAATACTAGGTTAAACAATTTTACATAAAGTGACACCATGACATTAATAGATGACTTAATGTACTCATTTATAACAGTATCAGGCCCTGGCGATTTATTGTTCTTAATTGTCCTCACTACATTAAGAATTTCATCTGAGGTAATTGGGTCATTGATAAAAGAACTGTCTTCAAACGACTCAAGAATATGTTTATCAAGTTCGCTATCTGAGCCCCCTGAGTCCTGTTCATTTTCATTAACATTCTTAAAATAGTTATAAAACTCTACAATATTTATGTTGTGTTGCTCTTTAGGTCCTTTACCATTTACTATATTCCAGTATTCTTTTGGGTTTGAACTTCTTAACTTTTTAATATTACGTTGTAACTTAATTCTATAATCTTTGTATGATTTATTCAGCGTAGATTTATATTTCCTTTGTGCGTCTTGTAATTGTTGTTTGAAAACATTAGATCCATATAGTTTGTATTTACGTTTAATTTTCCTACAAAATTTCCTTGCCTTATGACAATCAGCGTTCAACCATTGTTTTATTCTTTTGTTTCTACTTACATCAATATTGCGAGGTAAAAATGTGCCAATTGTAGTTTTGGCCGAGGATAGTAATAGGTCAGCTGTGGTATTAAACAAAAAATCAACATCGTCTTTTCTTATATTATCAGGGTCTAAAATTTTGTTGTCTATAATTTGCTCGATATTTAGTAGATCTGGTGTACTTATATTATTACAGAAATCATTCGATTTAGTGGAGTCCCACGACTTAATTCTTTCGTGTAAATTTCTTTGTGACATACCTTCTAATTCATTGTCACTACGTATAATACTTAGATGACATGCCAGGAGCATATGGATATCTGAGTACAAACAATTAAAATCTAATACTTCAAAGTGTCTAACAAATTGAAAAAAAATCAGCATTGCATATGAAGTAATCAACAATACTTGACCTGGTAGTTGTAAAATTCCCCTTTTCTTCATCATTTGGTACTCTATCGTTCATTATATATAAGCTATTTGCCTTACAAAAACTCAGTAGCTGATATCCATAAGCATTCGTCTTACTATCACTACTTTTTCTGTTAATATTTACATTATGTTTACCCAACTTGTTAACATCACTTAAATTATCACAATCTTCATTTAAGGATAATTCAAATTCAAACAATTCATTTTCTTCATAATAATCTTTTTTTTCAGACACCCTAGCATTAAAATCGCCTGTCAAGCAAACAAAATCAAAATGATTTATTAAGTTTAAATACTCTAGTTCTATTTCATCAAATGCCTCTGGTGAGCTATATAATGAACCTTGTGGGGGGATATATACAATACCAAATAAAACATCACTATTACAATTAAACAGTTCACCCTTCACCTTTAACCAGTAAACAAATTTACAATCAGTTTCTATTGGTGTAATAAATTCTGATAAGGTTTTACGAAACCCGACAATTAATCCTCCCGATCGAACTCGTGCACATGTTTCTATTTTTAGCGAACAATACGTAGTCTTTCAGTTCAACACTGTCAAGGTCATCTGTTTTGGTTTCAGTGAAGCACACAAGATCGTAATGGTTCACTAGTTCTATAAACTCGGGGTAATTTAGGCGTCTGTTAATACCGCAAACGTTAACAGAAATTATTTTCAGCACGGTATCAAGATATTTTGTGTTGACATTTTCATTGAGTTGGTTGTTAAAGTTTTTAAGAGAGTCAGAGTCTGATGATTCACTTAGATATTCGGACGCGTTTCTTTGACACCCTCCATGGTTTTCCTATTTCCTACGTCCCGATTTTCTTCTCGATCCTCCTCGGCCTCCACCCCTGGGTCTCGGTGTGAACTCTGGAGCCGCTGCTGATAGACGCGAGTCTGTACGTCGTCGAGGCGGCAAATTTAAATCTGTGTTACCATGCTCTTCTTCCTCGTCTGATTCATCAAGTGTGAAAAGTTCCCCATCAATGTAAAGTTTATCATAAATGAGTTGTGCTCTCCTCTCTTGTTGCTTAGCTGATTTGAAATAAGGATAAAGTTTTTTTCTCTTTTCGTTGATTTCACGAGGAAATTGTTCACTAATTCCAAATTGTTTATTTTCTTCTCCTGCTAATTTATAGGCTGCCCTCCTTACCATTTCCTTTTCCTTAAACAGAACAAATTTTGCAACAATTGGTCTGGCTTTCTCAGGTATCTTCCTTCCCATCCGATGCACTCTATGAAATTCTACCTTTTGAGTTATCTCTAGTTTTTCTTGCATAAATGCGTTTATCTTCTCTTCACAGTTTTCATCTTGAGACTCAGGAATTCCGTAGAACAGCTGTAGAAGATCAAGTTGTCTCTCATTGTTCGAGCTTGTAATTCAACATGGCGATTGTTAAGTTCCTTCACTTCAAGACTCAGATTTTCCAATTTTGCAGTTAAATTAGCATTTGATCTTTCAAGGATTTGAATGGATTGTAGTTTGTCTTTAATTTCATTACCAATGACCTCATTCTCATCTACCTTATCACCGGTAAACTTCACACTTTTTTCCAGTTCACTCACAGTTCTTTTCAACTCAGTCACATCGGTGGTAACCCCTACCATTTTTTGCTCAAATGAATTTATATTTGACTCGATTTTGTCAAGCTTATTCAACTTTTGAAACATTTGATCCAGTTTTTGAGCAAGATTATCAATTCTGTTTCCATAATCAGGTTGCGTTATAAATCCCGCTGGTTGGGCTAAGGAGGGGTTTTGGGGTTGATAACCTACAGGGGAAACACTATAATTCATTGCATTCATTGTTGCATTTGGATTCATTGTGTTCATCGGTGTAGAAAAACAAACCCTCAAATCTCTGGCCACTTCATTAAATATATTGTCACTATCGCTGGACTCGGCCTGAGAAGTACTCAGTACACTAACCTTGTTATGATTTTCTTCATTGTTACTTACACAGTTACATTGTTGTCTTTTTTCCTTTTCCGTCCTTTGCTGGACTTTTTAGCAGATTTTCCAGAATCTTTGGAACTCATAGGGCCACATGATACAATCCGTAAGCAATATTTCAATGTGGAATTTAAATTAGATGCACTAATAAATTAATTTTTTCGAAGACCAGATTTTTACAACCGTACACTCTCACGCATGCGCATCCATCGTCCAATTCATTTGAATCGCAAAAAGAGCATAGCCTTTCTTCGTTGTTTTATTTTGGAATTCAAAAAAACTCAACAGTTAGTGTTCGGGGATTATTCTTCATAACAAAATAATTGAGATAAATTTCTGACATCTGGAAAAACTGGATACAAGCCGATAATTAATTAGATGTCAACTGATAATTATACAAGACGCCAATTTTTGATAATCAGGATCAAAATGAACAGTGCTTACCTTGCGCATCTTTTTTGTCTACCTTAGCAACTTGCAAGATAATTACAGATGCAATGATACATTTTTGTGCAGCTTGTATTTTTTTTTAAATTAAATCTTCAACAATTACTAGTATTTTTGTCTGAATTAGTATAGATATATTTGTGTGTATTATTTAATACAACATGAGCTTAAATTCTACACAAATACTGCTAGTATGCAAATTTAATCATCAAAGATATTTCATGATAAACCATTACTTTACAATACTAATCTCTCAGTAACCGACTATCCCTCTAATTCGGCCATTTCATTCAGTCCGGCAGCCGGCCGGTTTAGAGACGCCTTACTGTATTGGTTTTGTAAGTTGGTGTACATCTTGAATGATATCGCTAAGTATATGACATGGTGTCAGAATTTCACTAAATTGACTTTATTCCAATCAGGGAAAAGCAATACAGTGAATAGTAAGTATTTGAAAGAAACAAATAACCAAAATGTCTGAAAATTTGCTTTGAGCGATCCCCTCTTTAGACTAGGACAGTAACGATTTTTCTCGAGCATGAAAAAGTTGTTAAACCCACGTGGAGTTCAACAAGGGCCGTGATGTATACATGTATACAGTAATTGGCAGTTAACAAACGAAGAAAAGAAATCCTTAAATGTCATCTTCGAGAAATTTCGGACTTATGTTAAACCAAAGTCGGACAAAGTGTTTGCACGTTATAAATTCGAGTGCATAACGCAAGGAGAAGGTGACATTTGCGAACACTCCATTACTGCATTGATTGATTGATGTTTAACGCCCCATTCGAGAATTTTTCACTTATTTAGAGACGTCACCGTATGCCAATGAAGGGCTTCAAATTTAGACCTATATATCGGTAACTCAGGGCCATTGAGCAGTGAGGGTTCTTTTTCATGCCAACGCCTACCGTGAGACGGGACCTCGACTTTTTAGGTCTCATCCGGAAAACCCGTGACTTTTACTTCTAAGGCCGGAAGCAAGGCAAAGGAACAGTAACTACCCCTGTTTTAAAAATATACAACTATCTGCACTGTTGGGCTCATTCACGTAATTGTAACGAATGTTTTCTTTTTATTTACATTGTATTTATAATGTTACATTGATATTTGAAAATCGTTTAAAACGGTGTATACTGTTATAAGTAGCTGTGTTTGTAATGATTTATCTTACTTTTATACCATTTCTCAAAACTTTTTCTTGAGAATCTAAAGGAAAATTAATAAACTGTCATTAGACTTAAAGGAATTAGTCCGATTGGTGAATTTTGTTAATGATTGATAATTTTATAGAAAATATTAAAAAAAATTAATCTACACTTGATCGTGTCCTTACCTTACAATTTTTATCAAATATCTTGATGCAAAGAAAAAAGAAACTATTTTGCGCCTTTCTTGACTTTTAACAGGCATTTGATACTGTATGGCGGAATGTGCTTTGGACCAAGTTACATATTAATGGAATATAAATGGTAAATGTTTTCAATACATTCAAAATATGTCTAAAGGTGTTAAATCTATGGTGAAAATAAATGGCGTGTCCACAGAGTCTGACACATCTGTTTCATATTTGGATATTTTACTTGAAAAAGACGTTAATGGTAATCTAAAAACCAAGCTTTATGATAAACGTGATGACTTTAATCGTCAACTTCCCTTACTTATGCAGCAATATACCTTCATCACCTGCATACGGGGTATATATCTCTCAGTTGATTCGATACGCAAGTGCATGCTCTACGTATGTGCAATTTCTAAAACGAGGTAAATTATTGACAAACAAGTTGATGAAACAAGAATATCAGCTGTCTCTTTTAAAGTCATCATTTCGTGAGTTCTATGGTCGATACAATGACCATATCAGCAAATACAATTTATCATTGAGTCAAATGCTGACTGACCTTTTTCATACAAATTGTTAGGCCATTATTTACACACTGAATTGTCGACGGATTTTTCCGTTATTTCCCGATCATGACAAGGAGCACACAGCGGGTGTGACCGGTCGGCAGGGGATGCTCACTCCTCCATGGCACCTGATCCCACCTCTGATGTTTGAAGGTCCGTGTTTGCTCTGCTCCTATTTTGTATTGTTTAATGGACTTTTGAGCCTGAATACTGTTCGTTATCTTCATATATTTCATCTTAGAATGTAAAACTTTAGCTAATGTAAGAAAAAATTACCTGGGCAATTATTATTCCCACAGACCTAATGTTATTAAATTCATGGAACTAATGTCAACCAAAAACGAAAAAAATGCTAAAAAAAAAACTATGCATGTTTATCTTAAAAATTTATGATGCTGTCTGTCCTCCTTGATATATTTTCCTCTCTCTTATTTATTTTCTTTTTCAATCATCTGTCATGTTTTTTGTTTTGTATATGTATCTCTGACCAGATTGTATATAATGTATCTATATGTTATTCATGAACCCCATGTACCAATATTTTGGTTTGGGTGAATAAATTGAACTTGAAATTTCAAGAAATTTCATTTCAAAGTTTGTATCAATTTTCTTAAGGGTTGTTTTTAATAGTATGTTTATTTCACAAATTAACCATGCATCGGACATTGTCCGATGGTTGGATGATTACTTCTCATTTAGTATAATACCGAACTGACAGCTGTTTTTGCTCAACATATCCCGCAGTGAAAATGAAAGTTATGGATATATGACAACTAGAAGTGGTCTCTCTTTTTTTTTTTTTCAAACTAGAAGGTGATAACCCCCTAGCCTAGGTCACGCAAGTCGTTTGACCTCCCCCCCCCCCCACTCAAGACCAAGGCGCAAGTTGCCATATTTCAAGGCATTGAAAGGCCTATGTGATCAATGCAACTACAATCTCTCCACATTTGTGAATACAAGGGGTGATCAGAAAGTTCGCGAACTATCTCAGTCTATATTTACAAAACCACAATTCAGACCTAAATGAAATGTGGCATACATATAGTCATACAAATGTTCTATAGCCTAAATAGCATATCATATGTGATGTTTTGCTCTAGGTTTTTTGACGTCACAATGTGAAAATAACGTCAACTTGTAGATGTTGTGACAAAATATGGTTGACTCAGTCGTACAAGAGCAACGAACGGCTGTAAAGTTTAACGTATATTATCTTGGAAATTCCTTTGCAGTAGCATATAATAATTTGTACAAGGTTTATTCCAATATTAAAACTAGAGGAACTGTGAGCACTGAGCTCACAAAATGATACTCCCGCCTCCCATATCTTTATGATGGAAAAGTCTATATTTTGCTTTGGGAAATCCAAAATAAGTGTCCGATCAAAAAAGTAAAATAGGAGGACACAATAGCGCTATGTAATAAAGATTCTGTGAATGTAACATTAAATTTTATTCAGTAGTATTGGAGGAGTAGCGGATAAGAGATGGGTACTCCTCAATATTGTAGTAAGAATGGCAGAGTTCTATGTTTTTCTATTGGAAACCCAAATATGTGTCCGATAGAAATGTAAAATTGGAGGTACACAATGGGTAGGATCGAACTTCTTTCAGTACCATTTTTTTTCAAACGCTACCACTTACCCTTCTTTGATTACACTGCAATGTGCCTGTTGAAAGTGTGGGGGGGGGGGGGGCTAAACCTACGCCCCAATGTTCAATACCTTTATTATGTCTATCTTTGCAAAAAAGGGGGGGCTAAGCCCCCCCCCCCCCGGTTCCGACACCTATGACATGTAACTAAAACTATTGAAAATTTGAGATTAATAGAATCATTCATTACTACGAGTGTGGGATAGTGAAATTCCACCGAGGAGACAAGATTCACGGTCTAGCAGGAGGCTTTGACTAGTCATTGTCATTGTCAATGTCATTGTGCAAAATCTCACACTGCTGTCTCACACTGGACAAGTCTATCTAACACCGGTGATTATGCGAGAAATAAATATATTTTATCTCTTTAAATTAACCAGAACGAAATACGGTTTTTAAGTTTCTTTCTGTTTAATCAACAAAATGTGAAAAAAACGTGTTCTATAAAGTATCAACAAAAACAATAAAACATAAAATATGTGCATTGGTATAACAATTCATTTCATATCTCCCATTATGCTATATTAACTATACAAATTTTAACAGTATGTGAAACATTTAGCATCTAATTTGAACACCCTACCAGTGGCTAAGTGATAAGCGTTACATCTCATTCTTTGTACAACAAATTATATTGCACGTATCACAGAAAATACATTAGTTTGTAGATTGTGACGTCATATTTCAAAGTTATTGTGACGCCAGAAGATACAACCAGAGAGGGTCCACAAAGTTATTTTTAGCACGAAAATCAAGGGGCTTCTCGATGTTTTGTACAAGTCTTTCTGCAAGAATACGTTTCCTTTCGTTTTTCAACTTTGCGAAAAAGTCAATGTCATTGTGCAAAGTGTTACTTTGGGAATCTTTGAAAGTTCCCAAATTGTGTTTATTTTCGTAAGATTCTGGATAAAGCTTTGTTCTCTCAAGATTCAAAAATTCCCCAGGTTGTGAAGGGTACGGCAGAGTCGGTAAAGGATTGAATGTGACCGAAAAGGCGTCCCCTTGCACTGGATTGATAAATTCTAGTTTCTGCATCATACTATCCGACTGTGACGTTTTGGTCGTGGTTTTCCTGCTTTTGTCTGTAGTAGAGGTGGCTGCAGTCACGGATGGATAATCCAACCCATAGTCATAATTCAGGAACGGATCTAATGTTGGTGGTACAGTTGTCGGCGGTAACATAGAGTTTGACCTGCTAAAACCACTCTCACCAGGCTTTGGGAGTGAAAGCTGGGGACCAAGGGCCAGTGATTCTTCAGTAAATTTATCAAACGGGTCCTTGATTTTCACCGTTCTCTGATACCATCGACTGGCGCCTGAGTGGTCCCGACCTGGAAATCATATAAAAAAAATTATGTTATTTCAAAATAAATAATTCTGTTGGATTTAAATTTTAAAAGTAAACTTTATCCAATTTTTTTTCAAGTAAATCCAAACAAAACAAACAAAAAACAAATTAAACAAACAAAAAAGAAAAACAAACAAACAAAAAATAAATCGAGCGGATAACGGTTTGAAAGTACACGTAGCGACCAAAAACGATTCGATATATGAAGTCATGATTGTCAGTGTTCTAATATATGTAGAACAAACAAAATTGTACCAACGATACAGTGTAAGTAAGGGGAAATCATCAGACAAATACTCTTCGGATTTTATGCGAACCCTGCCACCCCAACCCTACCCTCAAAACGGTTGAAACACGGTACTATTGGTCTCAAGGGGATATTAAGAGTTTGGGGGTTAACATTCAAAAGTAATTGTTTTTCCCTAAAAATATTTAGTACATAGTGACCTAGACTTAAATACGGTGACCTTTAAAATAAATTATGGGAAACTCAAGTTTATGATAGTCATGCTTTATTTCGATCAGAGCTATTTACAAATAAATTTGTTTTGATTTTATGTGAAGGCATGCATGTTAATTTCTCAATGTTGATTTTCTGACGATGTTCGGGAGTCAACACTCAAAAACCTGACTTGCAGCAATTTAAAAATTTCCCTAATTTGTTTAATGAAATCAACATGTAGTGTGCATATACATAAATTTGTTTTGACTTAAATGTGCCTGTCACATAATCTGTTTTTTTTCCCGTTTGTTGACAAGGTTTCGAAGATTTAGGTATAGTGTACTTATCAAGGTTCTGGAAATTAATGAATGGAATAGATATAATAATTATTTTAAAGGTTAAATCTTTATTGTTTTTAAATGAATGTTATGAGAGAATCTGGGAATACATCATATTAATTTTTACGAATAAAATCTGGATATGTATACTGAAGTAATTTTTCCACTTTTTGGGGGGAGGGGGGGCTTTATGGAAATACGTAATTTTTTTTGTGTCGTCGTCTGCAGAGCAGAGCGAAACTTAGGGATCACTTCACCCGGCGTCTGTCTGTCCAGCTGTCACACCTTATTTCTCGAGAACTGTAAGAGGTATGGATTTAATATTTTGCACATATATTACTTTGCATTATGGCTTTTGTAAATTACCCTGGTTACCAATTCATGACCCTTGACCTCTGACCTAATTTTCAAAATAGTTCATAGTGCCCAATATACAGCATATTTTTTTTTTCATTTAAGGGGTAATGAAGCTACAAAGCAGGCTACACATGCGTTCCTTGGAACACTCTAGTTTATCAATAATTAAACTTTATGTAACATTATCTTTTAAAAAGCTTTAAAAAAAACTTACCCATGTGTCCGGAAACCACGTGATAAAAGAAAGCAATCGAAAGGTATTTCAAGGCAACCTACAAGAAAAAAAAGGTAATTAATAGATATAATTAATTCCTTCTTTTCCAACCAAGGAAAGTTTTTGATATGAATATATGTATTAAGGTATGACAAAAATATTTATCTTTATAGTAAGGGAATAAATTGCAATTGAACCATTTTATGGATACTAGTATCTGTGATCGGTAATTTACTTCCTGCAAATTACATGATAAAAATAGTCAATAATTTATTTTTACAATTATGCTATACAATTCTTTTTGAATATATTTATTTTTACCCTCATCCCCAATATAAGTGAAACATATGGACATTTTAATTCAGAAACAAAAGATAATATACAGAAATGTAAGAGAAAGAACTAGGGATTTAGACTCGTTTTCTTTTTTTTATCTACTGCCTTATTGAAATTTCGTCAAAAATATCATTAAAAGCATTTTACAGACATTCATTGCTATGCTTCTTAAAAATGAAGCCCTATACCTATATTCTCTTTAAAAGGAAAGGTGGACTTTCAACAATAGGGGAGGGGGTTCTTGGAAGACTTGTAGATATTCCGGGAATATTTTATTTTGGTAGCTGTGGAGATTTTTTTTTTAATTTGGTGTTTCCTATTTCTGCCTCTGACAGAAGTGAAACCCTAGGACATTGCATATACATAATTGTCAAAACCTAGTGTAATTGTCAAAACCTCGTGTTTATTTCTCTCTCTCTCTCTCTCTCTCTCTCTCTCTCTTGAGCTTGAGGTCAACATTATTTTTATATTTTTTCTCCTTCTTCCATTCGTTTTTCGACATTAAATATTCATAGATACTATTCAAACCCACTTAAAGCCACTTGCTATAAACATTCTTTTTCAGAAATCGTGAAAATAGATACTAAATATATATTTATATTCGTAAAATGAGTAAGTTTTACCACAAAAGTTTTTTTCTCAACATTTCCAATAATGTCCAAAAAATCATGAAAAAATACATTGATTTATAAATGTAACGACATAAAGTGAGAATACTGAACTTTATAGAAATCTACAATTTCTTCATATTTTAGGAATTTGATATGTGCATCAGTTACAACCAAAATAAGTTCAATAATGTATACCAATCTATGCATCCTATTTATTTGTCCTTAATCGCGTGAGAATCCTAAGATTGACATTTCTTCTTATGTTGACACTTCTTTTATTAAAAAAAAAGAAAAGTAACATAGGTCTTGATATTCAATGTAAAATAGACCAATGTGTCAAGTTTTAACAATTATAAAGGAGTCCGACTAGGTCGGGTCATTGCAGTTTAAGGTGAGTCACTTAAGAGTACTGCTCCCACGTTCGACAACTCTCTGACAGTTGATAAGTTCCAACGGCTATTTTTATTGAGAACTTGACCACATTTATAGGTTTTCCCAAATCAAACAGTCGATTTATTGATGACCAAACATAAAAGTTTGCTGTATGTGATCTCAATGCACATTAGTGGGATTATAGAAAGTATAATATCAGTGGGATTATAGAAATTATTACATTTTCAACAGTGAAATACTGTGATTTATTCATTGAATAAAAGTGATGTTCTCTCTCAGTGTGAAAGGATACCAAAGTGATATTCTCTCACAGTGTGAAAGGATATCAAAGGAAGTAAAAAATAATTTCTGGCCTGTAATAAGACTGAGATAGTAACTTAACCATCTTGACAGAGACTAAAACTGCCATTTTCTTCCAAATATGTTGCTTAAATCCATGTTACAATGTTTTCATCTCACAACTGCTAAGCCATGACGTCTCAACTGCTCAACTGTGACGTCACAGCCTATTACATTGTGTTAAGAAAAGACAGAGGCAAAGGGATAATCAAAGAAAATGTAATAAATAGAAAATTCAATGTTTTGTAGTTGGATATGGAATTTATTTCACGAGTGAGACAGGATTTTTTGATATTTTCACGAGTGCGAAGCACGAGTGAAAATATCAAAAAATCCTGTCTCACGACTGCCTCTATGTATAATATCAGTGGGATTATGGAAATTATCATGTTTCTAGTGATTATTTAAGTGTCGGAAACAGACCAATTCATTTTCTCAGTATAAAGACGGTTTCAATGAATTTTTTGGCAAAGTTCATTTCAAATGTCTTCATTAAGGACAAGGTACGGAAAAACAGAAAAACCCAGTTGTTTTGTTGGTCTAGGAGGGGATGATAGTTTGAGGTGTTGAATTTTAATGTTGGATCGTAGTAATTTTATCTTCCAGCTATTAATGTAATGTGAAATAATTGGATTTTTTTTTAGAATAAACGACAAAGATTTTGTTTGTTAACAAAGTCATTGTATCAACCATATATTTTGCGAAATGTTGACTGTAAACGAGACTATTGATATCCTTGTATCATCAACTTCTTTGTCGATAGCTTGTCTTGTTTAGAAAATTGTGCGTACGTTGAACATTCTATTGCGTATCGAATCAACTGGGAGACATAAACGCCATGTGCAGGTGATAATGGTACATTGCTACATAAATAAGGGAAGTTTACGATAGAAAAGTTGAAGTCATCAAGTTTATCACATGGCCGTAGGAACCGGGGGCACGGTTGTATAAAGTGTTTAAAAGTGGTACGTTTTGATGCTATTGGTTTTGATAAAATTTTGTGATTTAAACCTTTTAAACTATAAAACATCATAGAATATTCCAAGTATGTTTGGTTTGTGTCAAAGAAATTGTCAAGGTCAATATTTAAAAGTTTTCGAAATAGTGAATTTTTAATTCATTATTGTAACGGCACTGGCATTTATTTTGAGCAAGAATATGATTTATTGTACATTATAGCGTGTTCCAAATATACCAATCTTGGTCTGAGCGAATAATGAAAAATACAATTTAGCATCAAAAGAATCCTTTCATTTAGAAACTAACAAGTTGACAAAACACAGCTAAAATGAAAACAATGTTTAAAATTTATAATGATTTACAGATTACATGCATAATTTTAAACAAAAAATTATATCTAAGATAAAACACATAATTTTCAGGATTATACAATGCCAAACTGTTTATCCTAAATTTTAAGGAGTGCTTTATCCTCAGGTCTATTTCACTCAACTTCCAAACATCGACTGCAACATCTATCAGCCAGTTTCGAAATAATAGTTCTTAAACAAATTCGAACAATAAATAAAATGTATTGTGATATTTCCAAGGTTAACAAAAAATAATAGAAGTATTTGTTTTTCACATATTTCAACGACATTTAAAATGTCGATTACTGTCTTGTTTCTTTTTATTTCACGAATATATTACTCTTAAAATCTTGGTTCATTGTTCCCATGAAATTGAGTAACTAAATATATCCTCCCCCGCCATTTAACTACTTATGCATTAATTAGGCGGAAGTACTCTACTGTGCACCTAATAACATTCACAGTTCATGTATTGATTGGTCCAATAATGCAAAACTACGTATTTCTATTGGTCAGTTTGTGTTTTCGTTCTTATCCGTCAACGATATGTTTATTGTGACAGACAATAATCTTCTTGTAACTTTCTTGTCAATGCTCATAATTGGTAATCGTTTTATGGAAGAACAGTGCACAGAAGACAGAACCTTGCGTAACGCCATTAACTGGCCTTGTAAACAACACATGCTTATATATGGTGTATCTTTTATTATAGACAAGACAAAACTCATTCCAAAAAAGACACAATAATTTTTATCACCTGCCTTTTCAAACCTTTCATATGTTAAAAAAATGTCAGATTAGGATGCCAGTATACCTGTCAATCGGCATTTCATTTCCAATCAGGATACCTAACGAGACTTCCTGATTTAAATTAAAAAAAATCATGGATAGTGTAAATGTAAGGTAAACATGCGCATCGCGAAAGTTTAATATAAAGTTGAGTTGTAGTATAGCTTCTCCTTAAGAGAGTGTTTTAAGAACTATCTCCATTCTGACGAATAAGTCGTTCGTTTAAGAGGTTGGATCTCGTCACCAAAAGTGCAGTTTCAACAAATAGTCACATATAAGTGAGCAAATGGGGATTGGAAAATTAAGTTCTTAAGACATAGTAGATCTTCTCCAAATATAAAATGCAATTGTTGCATTATATATGATCATTACAAACACTTGCAAACACAGAAAATCGAAACAGGAGGTATGGTGTACTAAGTTTAAGTCACATGATATCAGTAAACATTTTTAAAAAATATTTCTTCCGAGCGAAATTCCTGCCGAAGTATGGGAAACCAAACGATGTTTACTTGTCCCTGCTGACAAATTACAGAAATTCATCACTCAAGTTTCAAAGTTTAAATCAAGAGACTGAGTAGAGATTTCTATGACATAATTGTGTTTAAATTACGACTACGGCAAACTAATGCATCACAATTAATAAAATTTTAAATTGACTGATGCCTTTGTCATTTGATCCGACGAAACTAAGCGCATTCTCTGAGCTATATCACAGAATTATAATTTCAAATTAACAAATAAATGAAAACTGCACTATTTTTCTCTGACATTGTACATTATTCATACTTTTTGTTTCTGGAAAACTGATAAAAATATAAAGGTGCATTTGGAGATAAGATTTGATGAATAAAATGCATACATATAAAGTATTGTAATTAAAGCGTCTTTTCCTAAATTGATTGAAATGTAAATTCTTAGGTCACATAGAAAAAAGCAAAATTAGATAACACTCTACGCTAAACTATTCCAACCATCGGTCGAGATATAATGTTGTTAAAATTCATCAGAAATTAAAACATTTTTTTCTGCAAAGACGAAAAGTTACAATCCTCTGCTTTTTCCCTCCTTTCATTTTTATTAGTCTTTTAACATACCCTACTATTTTTTTTAATACCATTGGGTTTTCAGTAAAGATATTACTGATATATTACAATAAAACTCGTTTATAACGAATTTGATTAAAGGAAAATCTCGGTTATAAGGAACTTTTTATGAATCTCGTAAAAAACTTTTCACTATGTTCCTTATGCGGATATAAAGTATCTCTATTAGAAAGACGCAAATTTGAGGTCCAAGTGACTTCTTTATAGTTGTACTGTATTTGTAAGAGGGGGTTCTGAATATACATTTTTTTAAAATTCTTTTATACACACACCCAGTCATTTTATTTTAGATCCCCGTCCAAATGGCCTACTAGTAACTCTATATACATATATGTTCATATTTATGTTGTAGCCTAATATTACATAATTCACCTTGTTGTTTTGAAATATTCAAGATTTTTTAAGAGAATAGGTGTCAACCCCCAACCCCAACCCCCCTTTCACTGATTTGCCAGTTTTACATAGAGACATGCTTTCACTTGAAGGATAATGAATAACAAAGATGTTGGTCCACATCCAAGTGTCAAGGTGAATAATTGATACTTCTATTTTTGGAAGCATCCCCTCCGTAAATTAATGTTTAGTAAAGATGTCAGCAAGCAGGTCATTCAGAATCCTTTTTAAAGACTAAATAACTTGCAGACATAGAAAATGATAGATCACGCCAATATTTATATATTTATTTGTTTATGTAATATTGTGCGTTTGTTTGTTTGATTTTTGTTGTTTGTCATTATCTTTTTTTTTTGTTTTAAATGTTTATATTTTGTTTCTTTTATAATCAATTATAAATATATCTTCTCAGAATTATATACAGTATTAGATTTCAAAATATTGATTTATCATTTTCTATTTATTGTAATAGATCCTTTTTTATTATTTAAATGAAACACAAGGAATTTTAATATTGAATAATAAAGTACGGACAATAAAGAATTCGACATAAATAAGAACAGATAATATAGAATTTGACATACATAAGGCCTGAAAGATTGAAGTAATTTGCTCCTAGTTAAAAATAAATATTTTGAAATGTGTACCTACCTAGCAAAAAAAAAAAAAAAAAAAAATGGGGGGGGGGGGAGAAAAAGAAGGAAAAGATAATGCGAGAGAGTTGGGTACAATTCTTATGATTTCCGGACTGTGTCAACTATAATGTCTATTTACTTATTTCTATTAAGGACAACTTAACAGAAATACATCTTTCAAAATTAAATTCAAAATGAAATAGAAGCAGGCAAGACTTAAATTTAAAAAGATTTTATGGCTTTGCATCCTTGTAATAAATGTACAAGCACAAATAAATAACCTGCACATAAATAAATAAATAAATAAATAAAAATAAATAAACTAATAAAAATACATAAATAAATATAAATATATAAATAAATAGATAAATAAATAAAAAGTTTCTCCTACCATCATTCTAGAAGTAGCTGATTATCCTTTGCTAACTAGATGAGGATGTTAAATCAAAGAAATCTGCTCACACAGCTATAGCACCTGTATTTCATAAGAATCATGAATGAAAAATGAACTGTCGTATTTTCTTCTAGTTCTCTTAACTGGGGGTGTGATCAGGGAAGCGTGAAGGCGCGGATGGACATTACCGGCAGATCGTTGAGGCGTGTTTTCGTCGGCTTCTGGTGACTCCTTATTTCAGGTCAGGAGACGCAAATACGCAGGCGCAAAACGTCACGCCCCGTCGATTCCGTGATTTACGGACACTTTGAGACATCACTGCGGAAGTTCCAGGTGTGATCAAACGTCATTTGTCGCTTGTTAACTAACAATCCCTAATGAATTCTTTATTTTTATTTTATTGGCAGATCCATCTATGCCGATAAGAATTGGAGTTTTTTAAATCAGTTTTCTATACCAAGAAAATGTACCAAATTATTGATTACAAACTTGCAATACTTAAAATATTGTTCTGTATAACTTTAATATATTTCTGGGCCAAATTGAACAGTATTCCAACTTTCCTTACCTAATGATTTTATACCACACATGAAGTATTAAATCAACAAAGAATACTGAAAACGCTAGGTCCGTCTAAATTAACTCATTCTGAAGATTTTTAAGTAAGTGCTTTGCACATAATGTTTTAAACGGGTACTCAAAATGAATCGTCAAAATTAATAAAAGAGGCTGAAAATGAAAAAAAAACAAAAAAAAAAAACAAAAAAAACTCAAACATTTCTTTGTTATTAGTATAACCGACTTCATTGTCATAATATATAAAACAATGTTTTTTTAATTAAGTAAACAAATGATTGATTAAGCAATTAAAAAAATTAATTACACGTATCATTTAACCTTTGTTTTGTCAAGCAGTTCATTGCTTTGGTGCATATTAATTTTACACTGCTTTTTGTTTTATGAAGTTATAAAAAGAAAACGTCTGTTGAGTGTTATTTATCAAATAAATCGGTGGTGTTGTCGTTGGGCATTGGTTGTGTATTTGTTTTACTATGCAAGCATATTGTACGAGTATATTGCACATATCTTTCAAAACCATATGCCTAGGGTGCTTTGCCATTAGAAATGTACAGTTTAACTTAAAAACAGGCTTCTTCATGAAAATCGCCTATTGCATGGTTAGCTAAAACAAAACAAAATTAAAAATGTTTCCAGAAAAAGAAATAGATGTATTTGTTACTTTTTTTCTTTCACTGAATTTGAAGAAATTTAATGTTAATTAGAAGTAAGTAAGCATTTATTGATGAACTTTGAAAATTTTAATTAATATAATCAATTATAATGATAAACAATTTTTATCATTCTGAAATAAATTATGTTAGTGTGGGCCGAATTAATTATTGCTTTAGTATGGTTTGTGGAAACGAATGCCTAAACCAATACAGGACAAGCACCTGTTGTTTATCATAGACCAGTGGTACGCCACACATACAGAAACTACATGTAGATATTGGTTCCTAAACTCCCTAGCTATCGCCCTCTAAAACCTTAGGTCTAATAGGTTCTGGGTTTTTTTTTTGTTGTTTTTTGTTGCTTGTACGTATTTCTTTTAATGATTAAAATTAACGGGGTTTTTTTATTGTTACAATACTACTTCCTTTTTTTCTTTTTAAGAAAGAAAGAAAGGTATAGAATGGAGAAAGAAAACATAAAAAAAAATAGATAAATGAATAAATGATTGAATATTTTTAAAACCGCAAATGTTATTGAAAGAATTTTTTTTAAGATTAAAGGTTTTCAGAAAAAAAATCTATAGATTGTATTTAAATATTTTATTCCCTTTTTTGGCCCCACCTTAGTCATGATTTGAACGAAGATGAATTAAGAAAAGCTCTTTTATATAACATTTTCCCTGCCCTTGTGGGTTTTGAGAAGTCCCATTTCTAAATTACCTCCCTTTGCTAGGAGAGCGATCCACCTTGAATCCACTTCACCCAGCCATGCTTTGTGGCTTATTTTGAAGAAATGGCTTAGAAGTTCGGAAGAAGTAAAGAAAGCGAAGGCACACGACATGCACAAACAGACCAACGAATACTCAAAGACAGTAAAGTTTACATTCTGGTGAACGGAAACTATATCAAACTAAATGTGTTCTCTTAAGGACATTAAGGTTAACAGATGACATTTCTCCTCCGCACTAACATATCTGGGATACCAATGTTGATGCATTTACTTACCGCGTGCACTCGTATGTAAAATATTCAAAACATTTAGATTGTTCTAGAAAAAAGCGGACAGAAATCAAAGGTAGCACGCAGGTAATGACGCCATGGTGTGATGATTACTTAAACTATCCTAGTCTGTCATCTCGTCAATAAGTGACTGAGGATGTTCTTAGCATTAATTAGCAAGTCTGAAAATTTGTGTACCCTTTAAGAGTAGGATTTTTAGGTTGAGGAGGAAGAAAACAGGAAAGAGAAGGATTGGACAGAGTGTAAAAAAAAATATTAGACCGGCTAAAAGCCCGAAAGTGTAGAAGCACTGTTTTCATAAGTTGCGACTGAAAGCTGCAAGGTACATGTATCACAATAGAGTTTAACCCATTTAACCAGTTTTTGCTTTCAGTTGTAAAAGAGGAGAGCTCTGTTGTAACCACAATTGAAATAACTTCACTATTGAAATAATTATTTCTATAGTGGTTGAATGTGCATTTCAAAATCAAAACAGGTTGCAACCACTATTGAAATAAAGTTCACTATTGAAATGATTATTTTAATAGTAGTTGAAAGTGCATTTCAAAACCAAACACAGGTTGCAACCACTATTGAAATAACGTTTACCATTGAAATTATTTCAATAGTGGATATTATTTCATTAACGATTTATACGTGTAACCACTATTGAAATAACAACCTCCGTTGTTATAACGCTTATACTAGGTTTCCCCGAATGGTTATTTTTAATGCTTTGACGGGTAGAAACGTTGGATTTACTATCCATATTTGTTGTGTAGGCAAGCCCATGAATATAAGCGAGAATTTACTACTATTCTTTATCCTTTGGATTAAAAAATAACTATATTTTCACCAGAAAGTTTGTACACATATATGGTACCTGATAATAAAAGTAAGCTAGATTTTGCTTTTCTCAAGTTATATTGGAAAAAAAAAATGCCGTTGCAAAATGGTTATTTTACATGGAAACAAACAGTGTTAACAAAGCCTTTTAAGGTCTGTAAATTACAACTGGAAAGAGTTTTTTTTAGATATAAATCCAGAGAATTGCGGTCCCCCGCTTTTCGAGATCTTATTGGTGTGGGTGCAGTTGAAACTCTGTCCTATTTCATTTGTCCATCATGCATTTTTTATCAATTTTGAAAGGTGGTGTAATATCCCTTTATAAAGATATAAAAGTCCCAACTCTTCAAGTGCAAAAGTTACAACCATTGTTCCATTTATGAAAAGTAGGTCTAACTTCAAGGACATGAGGTCCAAAATCATCATATATGGGGAAAGGTCTGGTATTAGGCTATGGACATGTAAAACTATGAATGAAAAGTTGTATTTGTGAAACACTGAAGACCCCATATGGTATCCCATGGCGAGGGTTAAAGTTTCTCAAAGGCAAGTCAAACTCCAAGGTCAAGAGATAAAAAATGTTGGTACCAAAAAAGACCTTTTAACAAGGAATACACCTGTGAAATATGAAAGCTCTAGCACCAACCATTCAAAAGTTATGACCAAGGTTAAAGTTTTTCAAAAGTAGATCAAACTCAAAGGTCAAGGAGAAAAGGTCAAAACTATTGGTACCTTGGGGAAGGACTTATCACAAGAAAAACACATGTGAAATATGAAAGCCCTAGCCCAAACTGTTCAAAAGTTATGAATAAGGTTAAAGTTTTCTTAAAGTAGGTCAAACTCCAAGGTCAAGGTTAAAAGAGCAAAATTGTTGGTACCCAAAAGAACGTCATGCCACAAAGAATATATATGTGAAATAAGAAAGCTTTTGCATCAACTGTTCAAAAGTTATGGCCAAGGTTTCAGTTTTTCTAAAGTAGGTCAAACTCCAAGGTCATGTTCAAAAGTTGTTGGTACCCAAGGAAAAATTTTGTCACAAGGAATGCACATGTGAAATATGAAAGCTTTATAGCACACTGTTCAAAAGTTAGGGCCAAGGTTAAAGTTTTCCAAAAGTAGAACAAATTCCAAGGTCAAGGTCAAAAATTGCTATATCCCAGGAAAGGTTTTATTACAAGGAATAGTAAAGAAAGTGCATAAGAAAGTTCTTGTCACAAGGAATACACATGTGAAATATGAAAGCCTTAGCTCCAACCAATCAAAAGTTATGGGCAAGGTAGAAGTTTGCGGACAAACAGACAGCTATACAGACGGACGGACGGACGGACAGGGCAAAAACTATATGCCCCCGAATCTTCGATTACGGGAGCATGAAAAGTAAGTCAAGGTCACGGGTTAAAAAAATCGGCATATTCGGAAAGGTCACCAGTAACGCACATGTGAAATAAAGTGTTTTACAGTGAATTACATGTAATTGTTAGAAAAATGAGCCCCAAATTGAAGAATTGTATCCGTTTTCTGTTTAAACGCGTGTTGACGACTGTCAAACGCATAAGCATTTAGGAAATTCATCACTGTAGGGGACAGAACCATGACAACGAAATAAATTAATGCTTTAGAGTCCAGAAATAGGCGCTGAAGTGGGTGGGGGTATTTTTTCCAAGACGAGAGCTTTCATCCTTTATAGAGTTTATGTATATAGGTGTGGTACGTCTTTTGAAAACGTGTTTTTTCTTGACTGAAAGTGTCAGAATCTTTATTTTAACAAATTTTAAGTGTATTTAAAGTAGATTTAAAATTTTATTAATTTATTTTACATTTAACAATCCGGAAGACAAGCCCCTATGATTAAAGTAGAACAATTAAGGAAGTTTATTTGAAGATTGAGGTGATGATGACAAGTTATAAAAAGACCACCTGCTACAACACTAATATTTCATATCTATTTAAATGTAGACAGATTGGGTAACCCTTCGGGTCTCTGGATTTTGATTTTATGTCACAAACATATCACAGCTGATGGGTTTAGGTTCGAAACAAATCAAGGATGATATATTGAACAATACCTGTGTGATCTTGATCTATTGGTGCTGAAGAAATACAGATTGACGTATTCTACGCA